CTCTGTTCCCTCAGGACATATACCTGCATCCCCTGTCCGTCAGAGGACTGGGGCGTCTCATAGAATCCACTTGTAGATGGAGGAAGGGGAGCGGTGCCCCACGGTGTGCTGGTAAAAGTTTAACACCCAGATCTCTGCCCAAGAAAGGGCCCTGATGTATAATTATTTCCCAGTTTCTGTGGTGGAAATGCTCTTCATCATGGCCAATTTCAAGCTGCTGTCTGAAGTCAACCAGCTTGCAGAATTCCTGGAAATTGAAAAATCAGCTCTTCTGGTTCCAGTACACCATTGGGACACCCAAATCTTTTCCTGCAGCCTGTGTTCACTGTTGAGTGCCAGCTCCATGTGCGCCGCCTGCCTGCAGAACATTCCACGTCAGCCATGCTGTCACCTTACACCCAGCGTGGTATCCCACGTTGGCCCTCTGTGCAGCTAATTTGAGCAAGAAATGGTGTGCTGCGCTGTAGAGCTACCCCTCCGCTTTCTAACTTATTTCAGGTCTTAGTTACTGCAGCCCTAATAGAGGAGTGAGCCAATGGACTGTTGGGGCTCTCTCCCTGTTTTCATCTGAGATTTCATATTTACATTCCAGCTCATTTGCTGCTTTTTCAAGATAGTCTCTTCTAGATTTCCCTTTCCTGGCATTCTCATATTTTCCCACTAACTACAGATCAAAGATCTTTTTTTTTTTTTAAGATTTTATTTATTTATTTGAGAGAGAGAGAAAGTGAGAAACAGCATGGGTGGAGAGGGAGGGGCGGAGGCAGAGGGAAAAGCAGATTCCCTGCTGAGCAGAGAGCCTGATGTGGACATGGGGCTCAATTCCAGGTCCAGGACCCCGGGGCCATGACTTGAGCTGAAGGCAGATGCTTAAGTGAGCCATGAGGTGCCCCTCACAACTTCTTTTTCTTTGCACTCTGCTTTGTTCTTTACTGAGGCCTGCTGATGCCACAGGCCCTTGTCACTTCGTGACTGAGGTCCTGCTTCCCACTCCATGTGCTCTCTTATAGCACTGCTGATCATCCTCTAAGAACACAGTATATATTTTTTCCTGGTTCTGAAACTTTCAGCAATGCCCTACAATTGTTGGAGCCTTTCTGCTTGACTTTGAAGCTTCTCTTAGTACTGGCTTCATCTAAGTCCACCTTTACAGCCCACACCTTCCAAAATAAACTTCCAGCTGCGTGCACACTGGTCTCTGATTGTTTGTGCCTCTTTTCTCTGTGCCCTGCCCTACACTGTGTGAGATGCCCCCTGGTCCCCCAATACACTGTAGCATCTGTTCTGTTGAATCCTGCTCTCACCCTTAGGAACCCACACAGGCGTACCTTTCTTGGGATACCCTGTTTTTTGCTGAGTAACATCCTATCTAGATTATTCATTTTTGTCTTTGGTTCTCTTTTTATTTGTAGCAGTTTTTTGAGATACGATTCACAAACCATACAACTTAGCTATTTAAAGCATATAATTCAGTGATTTTTAGAATTTTCACAGGTATGTGTAGTTATCATCACAATAATTTTTAGAGCATTTTAACCAAGCCCAGGGCAATCACTAATCTACTCTTTATCTTTAAAAGTTTGCCTATTTTGGACATTTCAAATAAGTGGAGTCATACAACATGTTGCCTTTTGTGGCTGGCTTATTTCCCTTAGCATGATGGCTTCAGGTTCATTCATTTGGTAGCACGTATCAGTATTTCATTCTTTTTTTTACAGCCAAATAATGTTCCATTGTGCAGATAGACCAGATTTTACTTATTCATTCATCAGTTGATGAACATTTGGGTTCTTCACACTTTTTGGCTATTATGGATAATGCTGATAGGAGCATTCATGTACAAATTTTTGTGTGGATATGTATTTTCATTTCTCCTGAGTTGATATCTGGGAGTGGAATTGTTAGATCAAATGGTAACTCTCTACTCAACCTTTTGAGGGACTTCCAGACTGTTTCCACATTGCTGTGGAACTTTATATTGCTATCTGCAATGTATGGGGGTTCTGATTTCTCCATATCCTTGTCAACACTTGTTACTATCTGATTTTTTAAAAAATTTAAACTAAAATTAAACTTTATAATTTATAGTACATTGTTAGTTGCTGTGTAGAGTTCAATAATAATTCATTAGTTGCATATAACACCCAATGCCCATCATATCATATGCCCTCCTTAATGCCCATCACCCAGTTACTCCATTCCCCCCATCCACCTTCCCTCCAGCAACCCTTAGTTTGTTTCCTATAGTTAAGAGTCTCTCCCTCTCTGATTTTTCCCTCCTTTCCTCTATGATCCTCTGTGCTCTTTCTTATATTCCACATATGAATGAAACCGTATGATAATTGTCTTTCTTTGATTCACTTATTTTGCTCAGCATAATACCCTCCAGTTCCATCCATGTTGACATAAATGGTAAGATTTCATCCTTTCTGATGGCTGAGTAACATTCCGTTGTATTTATATACCACATCTTTATCCATTCATCTATTGATGGACATCTGGACTTTTTTCACAGCTTGGCTATTGTGGACACTGCTGCTATGAACATTGGGGTGCAGGTTCCACTTTGGATCTCTACATTGGGGCAAATACCTAGGAATGCAATTGCTGAGTCATAGGGGAGTTCTATTTTAACTTCTTGAGGAGCCTCCATACTGTTTTCTGACTTTTAATTATAACCTTCCTAGTGGGTATGAAGTGGTATCTCATTGTTTGAATTTGCGTTTCTCTAATAAATGATGATATTGAGCATCTTTTCATTTGCCTATTGGCCATTTGTATATCTTTCTCAGAGAAATATCTGTTCAGATATTTTTTGTTCATTTTAAAAATTGAGTTATTTTTCTTTGTATTATTGAATTGTGGGGACTCTTCATATATTCTAAATACATATCCCTTGTCACGTGTATGACAGTATATTGTCATATAAATATTGCAAATATTTTCTACCATTTTGTAGGTTGCCTTTTCACTTGCTTTATTATATCTTTTGGTACATAAAACTTTTTAATTTGGATGGAAGTCCAAAATATCTAATTTTCTTTGGTTGCTTGTGCTTTTGGTGTCGTATTTTTTTTCTAATTTTTTATTTATTTATTTATGATAGTCACACACACACACAGAGAGAGAGAGGCAGAGACACAGGCAGAGGGAGAAGCAGGCTCCATGCACCGGGAGCCCGACGTGGGACTCAATCCCGGGTCTCCAGGATCGCGCCCTGGGCCAAAGGCAGGCGCCAAACCGCTGCGCCACCCAGGGATCCCTTTGGTGTCGTATTTACAAATGCACTGTCAAAGCCAAGGCCATAAAGACTGACCTCTATATTTTATTTACCCTTATGTTGTTTTAGCTCCTACTTTTAAGTCTCTGATCCTTCTTGAGTTAACTTTTGTATATGGTGTGAGGTAGCTGTTCAACTTCTTTTGCATATCAAAACCCAGCTGTACCAATACCTTGTCAATCAATTGAGATATATAGGTTTATTTCTGAATTCCCAGTTCTCTTCCACTGCAGTGTATGCTTGGTGTTCTCCTATCCTATATCACTAATTAGCTATTTGATTTGCATTTATTTGAAGTACTAGAGGGACGCAGTTGTTATTATAATCTTTTGTTGCTAAAAAATGTTCATGGTAAACAGTTAAAACACAGAAGTGCCAAAGTGAAAGTCCTACCCCAGCTGCTTTGGATCCCACTTCTAGGACGACATAACTGTCGTGTTTCCTATGTAGCCTCAGTGATGTTGGCTTCTGACCAGATACATATATCTGTGTATATGCATATATGTGAAAATTCAGATGCACGTTCACATTTGTGAATGTACACATGCACAATACTGACATATTTATTTGTGTTTGTCTGCATTTTTATAATTGCATATCTCTTTTCACAAAATTGAGCTAGATAAAGGATTCTATGACTTTAAAAAATCATGAGGAAATCCTATACATCCCTCCATGTCAGTTGTACACATTTTACCTCATCCTTTCTTAATGGCTACATAATATTTTATAGAAGGTGTACACCATCATTTCTTCAGCCAGTTCCTTATTGTTGCATATTGATGTTTTCTCCTTTTTTCTTGCTATTCCATTTCTGCTGTGTATATGTGGGAGCACTTTTCTCGGTGGGATACCTGAAAGTGGAGTTGCTGATCCTGGCTTTTGTCTTAAAGTCATTTTTAACGTTTTCCCCTCCACTGTGCTTTATGATGCCTTACACATATTAGATACTTAATAAATATTTACTGAAGTGAACTTTTAAGGGTTTTACTCTGGGTTTATCCCTAGCTTGCTATTTCATTTCAGTAAACTGTTTTATGACACCCTCATGCCTATTTCCCTTCCTCTGAAGTGAATGAAAGTGTTGGTTACCCAGTCTTCATTAGGGAGAACTGTGTTGGAATGAGTCAAGCAGTGTTGTGATGTCTACCCTGTGTGTGGTGCTGGGAATATACAGAGAGGAGGTTGCCCCAGCCCTTAAGGTATTTGCAGATTTTTTAGGATGAGGCCGGTAGGATGTATGACACTTCCCTAAGAGACACATGTATTATGATGGGTACTGTCAGGAAAGATCACATGGAGGAGGGACACTGAGATGCTCTCAAATGAAGGGGAAGCTTTAAACAGGTGGATGTCCTGGGGGTGGATGTCTGCTAGTGGTTCTTGGCTGAGGAACAGCATAATGGATGCAGAGGAGGTGAAGAAAGTGATTCTCTGGAGTGTAGGGTATGTGCGGGCAGCAGCAGGAAACAGCTGGAGGGCCAGTGGGGACATGCTGTGGTTGACCTTGAATCCACACAGGGCTTTGGCACTAATCTGCTAGGTATTGGGCCACTTTGAGAGGCTTTTAAGTGGAATTATATTGTTGAAGTTCGTCTGGAGAGAGTGATGTGCTCTGTCAACCGGGGTCATGGATAAAGGGGTATCTTCATTTCTAGAGGTTTCTGTGATATAACTTTTTCCCCGTCCTTCTCTTCCCATCCCTCAATTCTTCCCTTAGCTGTCTGAAAATGTGGTTAACCGCATGAAGGATTCCAGCCAGCCTTGCAAAGCTGGGCAGTCAGCTCCCCCTCCTGCCCCTCCATCTTCTACATTTGGCAACTCTAAAGGCCCAGAGAAAGGTATGGTAGATGGCAGGGAGTCTGTGGAGGGTGGGAATGGGGTGTGAAAGGAATGACAAACAGCCTTCCTGTCAGAACAGATTTGACAGCTAATGTGGCTTGTGTTTGTTTCTGGGTGATGTAAGCACCTCCTTTCTGATAACTGCTTTTCAGGAGAGTGTGGCTTTCCTGTGTGATAGACACTGTCTGCTATGATGAAAGAACCCCATTTAGTCAGAGTGCCTACTTGTGACTGGGGCCAGACTGTTTGAGTTTCTCAGTATGTAACAAATGAAGTAAAAGGGCTTGGTAACTCAGGGCTTGGAAGTTGCTGTTAAGGATCCCTAAGAGACACATTGCCATTACTGTTTGGTATGGTTCCCAGAGTATTAGGGATTTATGTGAATTGGACCAGCCTGGGGGAATTGAGTTGATGACTTGAGCATTGACCTCAGCACCTTTAACTGAACCCTTATATCAAGTGATCCTGACCTGGCTTCTGGGACAGTTCACCGTGGGCTTCTAGCAAGGCCTGCCACCCCGTACCTTTCAGGGGTTCCTTTTTGCACCCATGCCGGGCTCAGACTTTCATTTGTTCCCTTCTCTGTGGGGTCCATGACAAATTAAGAAATTTGTGCTTTTCTCCAAACAGCGACTTTCAGCAAACACAAAGGAATGAAACAATTTTATTTTATTTTATTTTTAAAAATATTTGTTTGTTTGTTTGTTTATTTATTTATTTATTTATTTATTTATTTATTTATGAGAGAGAGAGAGAGAGAGAGAGAGAGAGAGAGAGAGAGAGGCAGAGACACAGGAGGAGGGAGAAACAGGCTCCATGCCAGGAGCCCAACGCGGAACTCGATCCCGGGACCCTAGGATCACGCCCTGGGCCAAAGACAGGCGCCAAACCGCTGAGCCACCCAGGGATCCCCCTAATGAAACAATTTTAAAAAGGATATAAGATATTTTAAGATATTACAAATAAGGATAGTCCTTGGAGCAGCTGCTATTCTAGCCAATAAATACTTGTTTATAAGAATCTGGGTCTTTTGTCTATCAACCACAGCTTGTCTTTTCTGCCAACCTTCCTTATTAGGTTGTAAGACTGTAGAAGGCAGAAGTTGTATCCTGTCCAGTCAGCATTTACTATCTGCTGGTCTGGGATCAGGACAAGTGCTTCATGCTGGTCGTGTACAGCGATGCATAGACAGGGATGCCTCCCTCATGGTACACACAGCTCTAGTTAAGGAGCCAGATGTATAACCCTGTAGGTTATGTGTATCATGATGAAGCAACACTAGAAGCATGACAATGGCCAGGGTAACACAGAGGAGTGACTCATTATTTTAGGGAGGGGCTTCAAGAGGAAATGATGGTTAAACTGGATTTTGAAAGATAGAGCAATGGTAGATAAGCAATTTAGGCTTGGTGAACAGCATAAGTACAGTCCCCAGAGGTGTGGCATAGTCTGGCCTATATGGGGCCCTAGGAATGATTTGCTATCTCTGGAATACAGAGTATAAGAAAAGGAGAGCTCTTGAGGTGCTGCTCAGGGCCCAGGCTACAGACCTCTACAGAGGCCAGAGACCTCTGCATGCATCCTTAAGGCTGGAACTCCAGCCAGGCCTTCTACCAGCTTGCCACTGTATGGTCTGCCCCAGGGCTTCCTGAGCATCACAACCAGTGGGTACCTGGGTTTGGACCCACCCTGAGATCTTTTTGAATATCGATCAGTGAAGGGGCAAATGAGATTCTTGAACCCTCATAAGATGCTCTTGTCTTTTAAAAAGAGGGGTGGCTCCCCACAATATCTCTAGCAACTGACAAGAAGGGGGGTTGAAGAGGGCTCTCACTTAACCCAGTGCACTTGAATAAATTGAATTAACTGGTGAGAGGGAGAAAGTGATGAAATAAGCAAAGAAGGCCAAAATCTGTCATGCATATGTCAGCTTTAGCTTCAGAAGATGAAAGAAAAATTGGTTTCATTTTGGTTAAGTTTCAGCAGTTTAAGGAGCAGGAATGGTGGTTCATTTGTCATTTGGGTGTAGTTATAACTATTTTTCTGTTTAAGTGATTGTGAATTTGAGTTTCTGAGTCCTGGAGAATAGTCAGCATAAATGGGCTGTCGTGAAGTTGACTAATTTTAAGATATTTTTACTCTTAAAATTGGTGTTTGCTTTTATTTTAGTGATGAAACAAGATTAGAAAAAGTTAAAATTAAATCCTTATGTCACATCGTACCTCAAAATAAATGTCAGAGGAAATAAAAGATTTAAATGTAAGAATTGAAGCCATAAGAGTACAATAATAGTACATAAGGGTAAAACATGTAGACTTTCTAAGCACTCCATCAACTGAAGAAACCCTAAATTAAGAAGAAAAGTGGGAAATCTAACTATAAGAAATTAGACAATTTAGAAAAAAATAAATGAAGAATGAATGATAAACTAGGGGACTATAACATGACAGGGTATTAGCAGTCCTAATATAGAGAGTTCTTAAAGATCTTTGACAACTCAATAGAAAATGCATATGAATGGTCATAAACCTGTGATGAGATTTTCCACTTTGCTAATAGTGAAAGACACACATTAATGAGTGTTACCAGGGGGAAGGGAAATGGGCAGGCTCCTACACACAAGGTGGGAGTGTGGGTTAGTGCCACATTTTCTACGTTACTTTCGTAGCTATGAAAAAAGAAAATTGTTTGAAAAGCTAAAGTAAATATGATAAATTACATCTCAATAAAGCTGTTGTAAGTAAACATATAAAAACGGGGCATATCTCAAAGTAAAAACTCAGCAGTGGTTTACTATTTTTTTTTATTCCCATTTGAGAACCCAGTGTGTTACCCAGGAACACTTAGGTATGCCCTCCTAGCCAGGCAGAGCACTGCTGTGCCCATCCTTCTGTGAGAGGTGGTCTGAAAGCCTAAGACATAGGATGATTGCATTTGGAAGTGCCTTCCTGAAGGGTTGAGTTCTGGAGCCTTTGAGTTCAATGTGCTTTAAAAGGTCTTGGCAGTGGAATAGCAAATCCTCACATACTCTCTCACAGAGCCTGGTTCTTCTGCAGTATTTTTGCGCAGTTCTAGGCACTGCTACTTTAGAAACCTGTGATGGAGGGGTAGGATGTTTGGCCAAGGCCATGGAAAGTGTTGTGCTTTGGCTGAAAGGCTGTGGGGAGAGGGGAGTAGCAAAATCTTCAGTGTCACTAAGTGGTGGAAAGACTAGAGTAGACTGGGTTTGCTCAAAAATCACTGAGTTCATGGCCATCAAAAGGGAACCTTATAACAACTTAAGAGCCCAGTAACATTAGAGGTGATGCAGATCAACTGATAGCTAAGTTTCCATTAATATGTGGTGTTTGCCACTTTCAGGGTTAGAAATCTGTAGAATGGGCTACTAAGGGAAACACCCCCACCAAACCCCCACCAAAACAGAGACCCTGGAGGCTGTCCTTTGAGCATGAAGCAGAGCAGTGGGTATGCTCAGCCTTTCAAGGCTTGTGTTTGGGAGATGACCTAGATTCCAGGTGATTGTAGAGTGAGGAGTGATGGATTGGTAGCACTGCACTCAAGTGGCTGTGCCTGCTGCCTGCCCTACACAGTGAACTGTCCTGGTGCAGGATGAGGAAGCAGATGGGCCTTTGGGCTGCACCTCTTTGACTGGCTGGATCAAAGATGTGTTCTGTGTCTGTCTGTGGGGGACATCCATCCAGGGATGTACGCTCCTGAGCCCTTTCCTGGATGACTGCCATGCCTTCATGGATCCTAGGCTGCTGCTGACTGGCCTTTTCTTTTCATTCCTTTGTAGACTCCAGAGTGCCCAGGTCTGAGTATAGTGGTGGCCAGAAGTCCTCAGGGGCGGAGGAGGATTTCCTTAAGAGGTAAGCCCGAGTGTCCACTCACCCCTGGCCCTGTGCTCTGACTAAACCAGATACCTCCTCACCAGATACCTCCCCCTTGCCTGAAGGCCCAAAGGTTTGTCTTACTTAGATTGCACAAGAACCCTATGATATAGGTAGCACGGATCCTAGTTTAAAAATGAAGGAACACCAAAAGTGACCTGAGAGGGTTGATTGCTGATGTTCTTAAAAATTCACTTTAATTTTTTTCCTTTATTTTATTTTATTTTTTTAAATTTTATTTAAATTCAATTAATTAACATATAGTAGAGTATTAGTTTCAGAGATAGAGTTTAGTGATTCATCAGTTGCAATACAACACCCAGTGCTCATTACATCAAGTGCCCTCCTTAATGCCCATCACCCAGTTGTCCTTTCCTCCCAAAATTCACTTTAAAAATCTAGGAGTATCACATTAAAAAAACAAAACAAACAAAAAAAAAAAACTGAGAGTAAGTAGCTGAGTGGCTGGACCTTCTGTGCCTGTGTATGCATACAGGCATATTTTTAGAGACAGGAAGAAGAAACAGAGCCCCCATAGTTCTAACTGGTTGCCTAGATGACTTGGCTACAGGGTGTTGGTGACTTCCCGTTGGCACAGGCCACACCCACAGAGAGCTGGCTACACCTCTTAAGAGCTCAGTAAGGGGTCTGGGTCCCCTCCCCTGAGGCACAGAGGCCCTCGGAATGCAGATGTGTTTTCTGATTTTGCCATGCACTAGTTATGTGACCCCAGAAAATCACTGCATTTCTCTGGTTCCTGGAGAAGGGCATAAATGGAATACCTCTTTGATGGGAGTGTTGTCCTGAATAAACATGGTACTGCATACGAAGCACTAAGCCTAGCACCCGGGAGTTCTCAGTGAATGTTCACTGTAGTTGTCATTGACTGGCTTCCTCTATACCTTTAATTTAATTTAATTTAATTTAATTTAATTTAATTTAATTTAATTTTGTTTTATTTATTTTATTTTATTTTATTTATTTTAATTAATTAATTAATTAATTTATTTATTTATTTATTTTCCTCTACCCTTTAGGACACTGGCTTCTGTAACAGGACATAGTGCAGTGGCTTAGGGGGCCCAATGTCAGCCACTGTTGAGTGGCTCTCTCAATTAGGTCAGCTGAGCTGGGTCTCAGCTGTTCCATAGTCATGGATTGAAATCCACATTCTAAGATCCACATAGATTCTAAATCCACATTTCTTCCTCTCTGATCCTAAGAGGCTTCTCTAACTAACCTGGACCTTTTTTTTTTTGTACTTCTAAATATTTTTAAAATGTTCAACTAACACATGCTAATGAAAGACTTAGGAAATATATAAAATGAAAAAATCAGCCATAGATTCAGAATAACCCTTGTTAATATTTTGAGTATTTCTTTCAAATGTCTTCTTACACCTAGTTTAGGATTATTTTTTCAAAGTTACATATAATTTTAAATCTTCTAATTTTCACATAGTTTTACAGTTATCTTCCATTTGTCAAACTGGTTTTATAAACACTTTTATTAGTATTATTTATTGGTTCTCATTTTTTTAGATTTAGCCTCTTGACAAATCTAAGAATATATTGGTCTAATGATGATGTCATATACCAGTGCTCAATTGTACCGTATGTCCTTTAACTTGACCTTGATGTTGGACATGTAAGTTGTTTGCGTTTTTGTACATCATAGTAAATAATTCTTGTAAGAGCATCTTGGTACTAACAACCTTTTTCTGTCTTCAGGATTATTTTGCTAGGCAGAATGCCCAGAAATAGGTCAGATGGTAGGAATACATTCAGGATAAAGAGTTAAATGTTCCAAACAAGACTGCCATCATCTGAACTGTTCATGCTTTCAAATGGAGGCAGAAGAATGTGGGCTTCCCACCTTGCCTGTCCGCTGTGTGGGAGTGGCTGGCCCAGGATTGCACCTGTGCCCCGAGAATGTCTCATTTGCCATATGGCTGATTGCTCATCTGGTGGTCAGGTCTCCTTGTTCCTAATCCGTATTGTCCTGGTGAGAATATGTCACTCTACCCCCTTGCCCTGGGGATATCACTCATGCCTGATCTCTCCCACTGGCCTCAGAGATCTCTTGGCCCACAGATCCCCATCCCCTGCCAGCGGAGTGAACATGCAAACCTTGTCTTGGCCACGTTCTGCCAGTCAGGCCATCTGCATCTGCTTCCGTCCATCTTTTTTTCTGGCACAGGTATAAACAGGAGCAGGCCAAGGTCCAGGATGAACTGTTCCAGGTGGTGACAAGGGAAAGAGAGGCAGCCACAAAGCACAGGAGTGCATCCCTGCAGCGGGGAGAGGGCAGCGTTGACCAGGAGAAGCGGAAGTCAGCCCAGCTGGTGAGTACATATCTTCCTGAGCTGGCCTTTTGTGCTTCCGCAGCACTGGGAGGCAGAGGTCAGGCCCCAGAGCCTGATCTGTCTGAAGCCCTGGGGCCTGGTTTCACCTCTGCGGAAGGGTATCTTTCAGGGGACCAGGGGCTTGAGTTCTTCTAGCCCCAACTCTGCCGTTGACTTGCTTTGCTGCCTCTGGCTGGTATTTTTAGTCTCGGGAGTGCTAGGTTTATACATTCAGCAGTCTGGTCCCTCTGTTTGAAAAGTCACAGTTGTAAGCAGTATGTGTGCCAGGAGACTGTGAAGGGAGAGCACTAGTGGCTTGAGGGCATGCAATAATGAGATGGAGAGCCCAATTTTTTAAAGGTAGGCAGCCTGGATATAAGTCCTAGCTCCCTGCTTTCTTGCTTGGGCCCATTCTCCAGTGTCTATGAGCCTTGGTCGGGGATCATAATGTTTGCACATAGGATGGCCCAAGGGATTAAGCGAGGTAATAACTGTCCTGGGCTTAGCATGTGCCTGGTGGATTATAAAAGTGCACTGTTATTGCTGTTATTGTTATTAATATGTTTAATTGATCGGACACTACTAGTTAGGATTCTTTCTGCTGTGAGTGAAGGCATTATGTCACAATACTAGAAGTCTAGAATGCGCCAGGGTTGACTAATTCAGCAGTTCACCAGCATCGTCATGGACTCCTGTTCTCCTGCTACTCTGCCATCTTCAGTGTGCCAGTGTGTCCTCAGGCCAGACATTTCCTCAGTTAGATGATAGCTGCCCCACACCCTGCCAGGTCTTATGTGGATGGAGACGTACCCATCAGGAGAAGAGAGAAGTTTCTCATGAGCTCCTGGCAGAAGGCCTCTGACCTCACACTGGCCTGAACTACATCAGGTCCCCATGGCTCAGCCAGTCCTCCACAAAGGGAGCAGAGAGGGCCTCACTGACTGGAGCTAGGACTCTTCTCTGGTCACACTTGGGTGGGGGGGAAGTGGGCATCCAGATAGAATGAGGACTGATGGTAATGGTTCTCCCAAGTCCATTTTCATGTGGGAAGACCCCCACATATCCAAGAAATTCTCTGACACCAGTGGGGTGTCCTCCGATGCAGCTCAGTCCTCAGACTCTATGGGGCACATGACTGCCCCCTCCCTGCACGTCAGGCACTACTCAAAGACCAGGTCTTCCCCTGTGCTTTTGGCTGACGGTTGTTAATTAGAGGTTCCCATGATCCCCTCATTTGACTGATTTGCTAGAGTGGCTCATGGAACTCAGAGAAACTTACTAAAAGGATTATAGAAGGACTTACCTCAGGAATAGCCATATGGGTGAGATACATAGAGCAGGGTCTATGGGGAAAGGTTATGGAGCTTCCCTGTCCTGTGTGCCATGCCCCCACAACATCTGTGTGTTCACCAACCTGGAAGCTCTTCAGATCCAGTTGTTTTGGAATGAAACTGGGGTGAGGCTTCATTACCTAGGCATCACTGATTAAATCATTGGTCATTGGTGATTGAACTCAGCCTCCAGTCCCTTTCCTCTCCCTGGAGCTCAGGGGTAGGACTGAGCCTTCCAACCCTGTAATCATGGGGTTGGCTCCTTTGGTAACTAGTCCTCATCCTTAGGTGCAGTCCAGAAGTTATATTATTAATGTAAAAAAAGAAACCTTTATCTCTCTCATCACTTAGGAAATTACAAGAATTTTAGGAGCTCTGTGCCAGGAACAGTAGATAAAGACTAAATATTTAGGTCTTACTATAAATCATGGTATCACAGCAAGAAATGGGGGTGGGAAGAATGTCTGCAGCAACATCTACTATCATCTGCCTCAGAGGCCAGGGGCTGGGAGATGAGCAGCAGCCCTAGGCCTTATGTAGGTGGCCTGGTGTACCCTGTGCTCCACAGAAGGAAGTTGGAGATGAGGTGAATTACCACTTGGGACTGTGCCCTGGGTGGTGGCCAGGAGGAAGTCCTTTGCATGGATGTTGGAAGCTTCGGTAGGCACATAAGAAATGCTGGTTGAACTAGGCCCTCTGGGAAATAGAACTGGTGTAGCCTTGCCTTTGGGAAATTTTCACTGTAGTGGGGAAGACAGACTTAAACCAGAAACTTAGAAAAAGCCCACATTGGTTTCAGTAAACATGAAATGGAGGCAAAGATGTACTTGAGGATGCAAAGGCAGTGGTGTCAACTGCTGATGGAAGACATGGCTTTGACCCCAGCCTTGAGTGATATAGGGCCCTGAGGCTGAGGGTGCCACTGCTGGGAGATAGGTGGGTATGGAGGTGGTGAGAGGACACAGTGAGAGAGGGGAGCGAGGTGTGAAGCCTTATAGAAGACCTCTTGACACCTTGCGGACTTGACCCACAAAATAGCCCATGGTGACTCTGAAACCATGGATGAGTCACTGGAGTCCATGAGGATGATGATGTGGATCTGACTGGTGTTTTTAGAACCCTGTGGCATCCTGGTGAAAAGACCGTTGGTGCAGAGAGAAACTCGGGTGAGGATGTGGTTTTAGGGACTCTGGCAGTCAGTCTCTGTGGGGCAGGTGGTTGTCACCCCTCTGCTGGGAGACTGACAACCAAGTTGAAAGGGCCCCGGAGGTGAAGGGTTAATGAATATGCTATGAGCAAACCAAACTGGCCACCTGGGATAGTTGCCTACCGTGGAAAATTGCAGCCTACAGGTGTGGTATTTCTTCCTTCTCACCTGGAACGTGTTAATTACAATGAAAGGGAATTCACAGCTTCCTTTCTTCCACCTGTGAAGGAGAAGGCTGGGTCCTGCCTCCTCAAGACTATTCTAGGAGGTGAACATTTACAGGAGGAAGGGGCTTAAATGACCTTCACAACAGCTGTGTGGGTTTTCTTCTTCTTCTTTTTTTTTTTTTTTTAACAAAGCGTAACTTTTGAGTAAAGAAAATACATCTTGATTTGATCCCACCCTACCTCCCCAATTTCTTGATGGATAATACTCTTCTGAACCCGAGTTCCTAGGGAACAGTGAAGTAAGTGACTTCCTTCATTTTGAATATGTTGATTAACTACTTTTCTGGGTGTTCCCATTTTTTGCCTGTTCAGCATCCACCTGTCCATGTGGTCAGTGTCATGTTTCCTTTTGGGAACTTACCTGTCTCCTGTTGTGTGTTGTGTTGGTGGAATTGCAATCTCAGTGCCCATTTTCCTTTATGGAAGCCATCTTTTCTTTCTCCCTGCCACAGCATAACCAGGGCCCAAGGGCAGCTAGTCTAAACCCTCTTTCTGGGGACTTTGGTTCTGAGTGAGTGAGGAAGCCAGGGTGGATCATCAGGATCTTCATCCAGTGAGGCTATCTTGCTGTCTTCCACACCTCCACAGTGCCCATTGGTTTCCGTCTGGTCCTTCTGCCTTCTTGAGGATTGAATCATTGCTGATGACCTGTGGTCAGCTCTCCTTTGCTTGAGTTAGCCAGAGTTGGTTTCTGTTACTCAGTGCGATAGCAGATGCAAAAGACCCATGAGCCTGGTTTCGAAGGCTTCAACCAGTGAGTGCGAACGGAGGAGAAGGGAAGCCAGCACCAGGCCCTTCTGTAAGTCCACAGGGGCATGAGGCACTCACCTAGATGCTGAGCGATACTGCAGCCATCCCTTCCACTTGGGGTGCTATGGCTGGCAGGACCCTTTAGTGGAGATAATTTCAAAAGTATGTGTACTTTGGAGGATTTAAATAAAAGGAAAAGAGTGGAGAAAGGACCCGAACACAAGCGTAGGGAACTTTCTTTCCTCATCGGAGCCTTCTGTAGGTATGAATTGAAGGAGCCTGCTGGGCAGGGCACTTGAGGCCCTAGTATTTGGGATCACAGCACATTGTCCTAACCCTGGAGCCAGGTGGGACCCCGAGGCAGACGAAGCTGCCCTCCTCTCCTTGGTGCCGTCTCTGTCTGGGCCTGCACCTGTGCACCTGTAGCCGTTTCTGGGGGACCTTTCCCCAAGTGTGCGGAGTGCGGTTTGATATTTAATGTGCTCTTCTGCCCTTTCTTTGACAGTATTGATTTTCTAACCCTATTCTGCATGAGGGAATGATTCAGCTCGTTATTGGACAAAGTTAATAAAGCTAATGACAAGGAAAGGTAGTAATTTTTATAACCTGCTTCTGATGACAGAAGTGTTGCCATTTCTTATCTAGTGCAGTAGCGGGCTGTTTTTGAGTATGTTTATGTGTATTCCCTGTTGCTTGCAACCTGATACAGCCCCAGATGTAATTGGGGTGAAGGCCCTGGGTGCCAGTGGAGCCTGTGGGAGTGAGGTATGCTTTCCTCTGAGTTGGGGGAGGACGTTTGGAGTCCCAGATGTTCTGGAGAGAAACGAGAAAGAACAGAGCGGTTTCTGGGGCTGAGTCTTCTGATGGGCAGAGCTTCATTTTCGGGGAGAATGAGATTTATGACCTTGCCTATTGGGACTCCTGACACATCAGGTATGAGATTGCAGTACACCTGACGGAAAGCAAAAATTTCCATTTATTTTATTTTATTTTTTTTGGTGAGCAATTATTTTATTATTTCCTCTATATATTCTTTGCATGCCTGTTATGGTAGGCACTAGGTTCATTTCTTGATAAATGGAAATAAATGAGAAATAGCTTCTGTTCTTGAGGAGCTCTGTTCGTTAGAGAAGGTAAGTATTCTCAGAAGTGACTGGATAGTGTTGCAGTATCAGACCAAAGGGAAAGGAAGGCACTCAAGGAGGAAGGAGGCAGTGACAACAGCCCCTTCTTGGCAGGGTAGGAAAGTCTCCTGAGGAGAAGTGACCCATGGGCTGGTTCTTGAAGACTGAGGAGGGGCTCACCAGGGGGAGAAGGCTGGGAAAGGATATTTCTTTTTTTTTTTTTTTTAAAGGAAAGCTTTTTTTTTTTTTTTTTTTAATTTTTATTTATTTATGATAGTCACACACAGAGAGAGAGAGAGAGAGAGAGAGAGAGAGAGAGAGAGAGGCAGAGACACAGGCAGAGGGAGAAGCAGGCTCCATG